ATGAACATTCTATGACAAATAGCTAAGGAGTTATTGAAGAAAGTCCCATAGAGGTCAGCCTGACCAGCTAAAATAGGTCAAAATTTTGCGACCTCGCTACGGACCCACTTTTGGTCAGAAAAAAAAATATTTTGGATTTCCCGCTTTTGGACCAAACGCTACCTCCTCACCAAATTTCAGCGAAATCGGTGATGGTCGACCTAGAAATCACGGGAAAATTTGTCGATCTGACATGGAATCACCCTTACCTTTCCTAGAGCATCTATCAAGGGAAAACTTCCACTAAGTCAGGGTTTACCTTTCACCTATGAAATGATTATATTAGTAATTTTATCAACTCCCATATATCAGTGTTTCGATTGCAAACGCAGGGCACTCAACATTTGGGTTCATGAAACGTCACGACTGACACTTTCATTTGAAAACATGTACAGTCCTTTCAAGGGAGGCTAAGTGGGGTTATGGATCGTGAAATTATCTATCAATACCCAAGACAGTTTCCTGCAGCCTTAATAGGTTGATTATTCCTTTGGAATTTTGTGAGGCACATTAATGCAACGTTTGTATTGCTCTGAATGTCACATCCGACACTGTGGACACGCCCATCTCTTTCCGGTCTTCGACCATGAAAAACCTAATTTCTCATTTATATTTGGTAAACATAGACGAACGGTGTCCTTGAAACGATGATGGGAGGATGGAGGGCTGTGCGTAGTTGCATCCATCCGACACGAAGGTTGTTAGGGAACTGACAGCTCTGGTTGCTGACACGACGACAAAGCCCGGGTCCTACGCGTATTGTGGTCCAGAACCTGAAGGGCGAAGGGGCACAGAGTTCCTTCCACTCCGGAGCCAAATTTCGAATCCAAAAATTTTTTTGCATTAAAAATGCCAATTTTGGTGCAAATTCGGCACAAAACGAACTCAGCCTGTATCATGTTCAAATTTACCAGCTTGCCAATTTTCGCATTGATCAGGCTAATATTTTGTTTAGTTTTCGTCGGACAACCAGTGTGACACACGGACACACGGACGTACTGACACACGGACAGACAGGACGAGAACATAAGTGGTCTCTTTCCTTTCAGGAAAGGCCCACTAAAAAATAGGAGTTGGTCGGGGTGTGACAAGAGCGATTCACTTTCGCGATTCCTTGTGCCTCGTGAACCACGTGAGGTTAAAACCGGAGTGAAAATTTTACCGCAGTTAGCTCCCGAAAGTTTGAGAAGTTTGCAAGAATCATCGCGATCCGATTCCATAATTCTTGCGAGCGTTCTGATTTAGTTTCGCGATAAAGGAACCAAAAGAATGCATTCAATTTACTACAGTATTAATTAACTAATTATATTAACGGGGTTGAGGTGAGTCGTGTCGCTTGATGAGTCACATCTCTTGGAGTAGCAGGTAGCAAATAAAGGGACTGAACGAGAAAACGTTCCGTGTCGGCAGTTTATATGGAATCGAAGTCACGCAAAAGCAGGGCGGAAATTGATACTTCCGTCCGACACTCAGGGAGAGTAGAGGCGCATCCGGTCCGGGGAGGAAGGTGTCGGCCCTTCGACTTCTCCTAGACAGAATCGCACCTAGCTTACCGAGCGAATGCCATGATATGTAGAGTATATATTGTGTCGTATTTTGTCCATGACAACTGCGTAGGTAAAAATTGACAACAGCGATTTTGGATGACCGAGCAGCTCTCTATTTGAGGCAAAGGAGCCATAACCCATCCGCATGTACTGGTACGCACCGTCCTACGTCCTTCCGCCCAGCCTACGGTCTAGAAATCTTATCCTATGTCAATATCATACAATATAATACAATGTCATCGGATTGTAGGCCTCTCGCGTCAGACTACGGTAGCAGAACTCTAGAGGTCAGACAGGCCGAGTCACTCGATGCGGATGGGTTAAGACAAGCTAGCACTTGCAAGCAGGCAATGCAGACCATGAGCAATGCAGACCATGAGCAATGCAGACCATGAGCAATGCAGACCGGTGGCCTCACTTTTGTATACAATTGCATTGCGTGTAGTCATTTGCGCGGTCTACGAGCCAGAGAAGGTCTCTAGATTCTGGGCTCCCATACGCGATTCTTGGCAGGAGTCGTCTCTGAGACCGGTCTTCGCTCGTTCTGCGTCGGTCGAGAATGAATTCAATGGATCTTGGGAGATTTCTTTCAGATATTTGATATCTTAATGGGTACAGTCGACTCCGCTTAATAGAATACTCACGGGACCAGCAAACTTTATTCTATAATCCGGAGCATTCCAATAACCGAAACAATCGTGCAGTACTTCTTCATACTCCAGGCAACTTTTAAAATGTATTCTTCCCTTCCAGACCTGAATTAAGGCCATTATCGGAATAATATAAATGTTAGGATTTTTTTAAAGCTCTTTTCCTATTCTACGGTATTTCAAATTTATATATGCTGTATATCATTTTTATATCGTGTATAAATTTACCGCATCATGCCATATATTATATATTATAGATGTAATTACGTAACTGAATATTACAAAACTTACGGGCGAGACAAGACCTCTGACGGAATCGAGCCGTGCGTGACTGAGTCCATTGTATTGAAATATGCGGCGGAAAGTCACGAGAATCCCCAGAAATTCCCACAGAAACAACGAAAATGCAACGTCCATTGGAATGGACACGGGGCCTGAAAGGTACACTGTAGTACAGCGTCCGTATGACAAAATTTTGCTGCCTCGTTTTTGATCATCTCGGAAACTTGCGTCTGCTTTTCGTCCTGACTCAGAACCGCGATTCGGCCAAGGTGAGGTCTTCTCTCTTCCCCATGGTCAGCTCGGAATGATCTGATGCTCATTTGCTCAATCCAGGAAAACTTTCATTCACGTTCGTCTAAAAAGGGCAGGCTTACTTGCCTCTTTTCCGCATCTGCAGCCAATTACACCCCTTACACCCCAATTTCTAGGAAAGTGTGCCCCTTCCCCCCACCCCTCGGTTCACGGAAGAGCTAAGTGGGAATTCATGACCTTGGTTCTACGAAGCGGGTGGGTGGGACGGGGGAAGACTTAATAGACTATCCAAGAACACGAATGGGAAAAATAAGCATTTTGTTTTACTGGAAGCTGAAAAAAGTAAATGTTTCGGGAAATTTTATTCGTTTTAGCTGGTTATTCTAATAACCGTATTCCTTAATGCGATGTTTTTCATAATGTACCTTATGGTAGAAAAATCGGGACCGTCCAATGGTATTCCATTAAGCGGTATTCGATTATACGGAGTCGACTGTATTCCCAAATCGTACGGGGAAAGTGATTCTTAAGAATTTCTTTTTAAGGAAAAGCCTCCCTTGACTCCTGGGTGCTGTGTTTCGTCCGACCGATTGAGAGATAATCAGAGATAATGAAACAAAGCCTTCGATCGTTGCCTGGGGCTTTGAAGTCGTGAGAGGTAGTTCACGAGAGTTTTTGCTTTCTAGTCGCAGGAAAGAAAAAAAAGGCCGCAAGATGCTCCGAGCGATAGAGACCCTGTGATGCCATATGAGCGAAGGGGTTTCTTCTCCGAGGGCTGAGGAAGCGAAGAATAATGTACCTGTAAATTTCTCAAGGGCTTCTATCGAAGACGGCATACCCGGGACCAGGGCCGTGGGAATCCGTCTATGCGGTGACGTAGCTCAAAACTCACTTGGAAGAAATCGCCTTAGGTGCGCGGATGAGGTGCACGACGGGCGAAGCCTGAACGGCGTCTGGTGCGACGTGGCGAGGGAGGACCGGACGGGGTCTGACATCTAGCGAAGGGAGGTGGAGGTTGAGATTGGACGCCATGCCGATGACGTCGTTCCGGTTGCGGTGATGAGTGCCTTGCCTCCGTCACGTCGTGGATTCGTCACTCGTATGTTCCTTTTGTCATCGTTACTGTTTGCTTGACGATTGGAGGACGAACGCGTTCGGTGGGTCTGATACGTCGTCTTTTCAACCGTTGGAATCCATGGCTTTTGTGACGTCTTTTTTCACCCGGTGTTGGGTGTTGAACCTGGAAGATTTTGGTGCTGAATACTCCGCCCTGGCAATCGACCAAGAAACGTGAATACAAACTGGGCAAAATCTTTCGAGTAGGCCCTAAATTAGGCTCGATCTTAAGATGAGCGTAGACACATTGACATTCCTGGACACTGACGATGGGGACCTAATCGGAGCAGACACTCAGGGCTCAGAGTTCGATTTCACGGATTTCTCCATCCCATCACAAAGTCAAACTCAGGCCTCTCAGTTGGACCCACAGCAATCACAGCCTCCTCAGGTAGGCTAGGCCTATCTTTTTCGTTCGATCAGGGCTAAAGTTTGTGCTTAGGCCTAATGTGAGGTCAATTATAGGTTTAGGCCTTTGAAGTAAAAATCTAAAATGGGCCAAGTTTAACTCCCAAGTTTGTTTGATCATGGTAGCTCAAGCCTACGTTTCATCTGCGACGTATAACGAATGGAATTCAACCAGCATCGATCCAGGTCTATGGACCAACATTTAGGGATAGGCCTTGGGATTGGATCTGATATCAATATATGTTTTGAAAACAAAAGTATAGGATATCATGGCAACAGAAAAGGAAGCCAGACGAAGGAGACTCATTTGTGTGTAAGGGGATATGTTGTAACTGAATCAAGGGGTATCAGTCTGTAGTTACAGTGATTTGAGTAAGTATTGAAGAAGAAATATGTCTTTTCAAAATATTAGGGATATTGATTTATCTCAGTTCCACCTACTAGATAGGGGAAAGTTTGGAGTTATATATCTTAACTGTAACTATCTCCAAGGGTCACTGTGTTAGCCTATTTGCCTGTAGCACCTTCTGTGCATATTACTAACATCTTTTTCATTGTAAAATTGTATACCATCAGATGTTTTATGTTGAATGTACCTATCGCCAAGCTTTGAAAGTCTGTGTGAACATTAGGCCCTGCAAGTCCTATCACATTCCTGTTCTGAAGCACTAGAACTATTGTCAAATATTGATCAATCATTCAGAGAAGCTGCTTTTAAAAATGAATTATTATGGCTGAGAAGAGAAGAGAACCTTTGTATCTACACATAAATATTAAACACCTGTATCTGAACTCTCTCAGTTAAAAACCTACATCACTGTAATTATTCATGATGTATTTTAATGTGATATATCTCTTTTGCTATTCTAATGGTGGTCTACTGAGGAGGTCTTCCTGACTTGTTCATAGTCTAAACTCTGTTGTGGATTTCTTATAAATAGGCCTAAATATCTTGTATCTTAAAATTTTTAAATGGAAAAGCTTGTATTAGGAACATGAAAAGCAAGGTTTATGTTTTTTCCACCTTTTACATCATCAAATTCACCTGATGAAACTTTACTGTTTCATCTTACTTGAAGCAAAGCCTTGGATCTGTTTAATATTAAAGCAAAAGTATCATCTTCATAGTTGCACTGGTTCATCATTCTTAAGAATTGCATGCATTCCAGTGGTTCCATTGAAAAGAATCTATTTTATACCTTATTTAGATGCTAATGGTTCTCATTTCCCTGAATCCCTGCTACTCATTGCAAAAAAAGTTCTGCTCCTTAGTGACGTGTTGCTTATTTGGAGTGGGTGCTCTCTGCCAGGGTTGCAGGGTAGAACAGTAACTTGAATGTAATCTGTTTTGGCACTAAAATTACTGATGTAAAGGCTAAGTGAATAGTAGGTCTTTTGGGCTGTAGGGTTTTTACAACACTTAATTGTAGCATGGCTCTTATTTTTGAGGAGGATTCTTTTTGGACTAAGTCTGGCCTAGAAGCTGCAGTGATTACTTTAATAGTACTTTGCATCTCAGGTGAATGGTGAGTTGAGGCCCAATTTGGATGGAGAGATATCAAATGTAACCCAATCCATTGGAGACCTTCAATTTGAAGACGAAGATGAGGAAACTTATTACACCAAGGACCTTCCAGAACATGCTTGCAAGTAAGGGACAACACATGGGAGTTGTCTTTGTTGGAGAGAGCAAGATTTTGAACAGATTGATTTTTTTCTTAGGTACTGTGGAATCCATGATCCAAGCTGTGTTGTTCTGTGCAATGTGTGCCGTAAATGGTTCTGCAATGGAAGAGGGAATACATCAGGCTCTCACATCATTAATCATCTAGTCAGGGCCAAGCATAAGGTGGGTCAGAGGCTATTTCAAGGCTTATGTCATACTAATAATGGAAAAGCCATGCTTGGAACTTTGTGCCCTACTCTACCCTAATGAAACTAATAGTTTTGATACTAGTTATGGTTTTTTTTTTTCATTTCTCAGGAAGTGACTTTGCACAAGGATGGCCCCTTGGGTGAAACCGTGCTGGAATGTTATTCCTGCAGCAGTCGCAATGTATTTGTCCTGGGATTCATTCCTGCCAAGGCCGATTCTGTTGTTGTGCTCCTTTGCAGACAGCCCTGTGCTGCCCAGAGTTCTCTCAAGGACATGAATTGGTTTGTCGTTAGATATTTGCCATGACATGATGCTGCGATCGTGGAGCAGTTGGCAAGTCTCTATTTAATTTTTTAAATGCATGTTCAGGGATCAGGAGCAGTGGAAGCCACTGATCCAAGACCGAAGCTTCCTCCCCTGGCTGGTTAAGGTTCCTTCTGAGCAGGATCAGATGCGGGCTCGGCAGATCACAGCACAGCAGATAGCCCGGTTGGAGGAATTATGGAAGGAGAATGTGGATGCCACATTCCAGGACTTAGAGAAGCCTGGTGTGGATGAGGAGCCTCAACAGGTCCTTCTCAGGTCTCTCCTTTCCTCCTCATTCACCCCATAAGTTCAGTGTGTGAGTGTGAGCACTTGTGTAAATTAGTTATTTTTACCTGGTAGATATGAGGATGGGTACCAGTATCAGAACATCTTTGGTCCATTGGTGAAGCTGGAGGCAGATTATGACAAGAAGCTGAAGGAGAGTCAGACACAGGATAATATTGAAGTCAAATGGGATCAGGGTCTCAACAAGAAAATCATTGCATATTTCAAGCTTGCCAAGACAGATGGAGGTGAGAATCAAGACTTAAGTCTTTTGTTCCTATTTAGTTTTTTTTTGGTATATTCTTCCTTTTCTTTCAAAATCCTATTGAATGCCTGTTAGTTCCACAAGGGAGTATAAGCTGATTATTAACCCTTAGATATGAAATTGATGCATGGTGATGAGCTGAGACTGCGGTACCTTGGTGAGTATGGGAAGCCTTGGTCTGGTGTTGGACATGTGATCAAGATTCCTGACAACTATGGTGAAGATGTTGGCATTGAGCTCAAGTGCAGCAGTGGTGCACCCATTGATTGCACCCACAACTTTGTGGTGGACTTTGTCTGGAAATCCACTTCCTTTGACAGGCATGCATTTTATCTCTCTTTCTTTTCATCCCAATTATTGCCCAACTCACTTTGGAAATCAAGTGTCTTGTTCATATGCTGAAGCTCTTTCATTTAACATTTGTGATTTTAGGATGCAAGCAGCTTTGAGGAAGTTTGCTGTGGATGATTCCTCAGTGTCAGGCTACATCTACCACAAATTGTTGGGTCACGAAGTTGAAGATGTTGTGTTCCGCAGCCACCTGCCTAAGCACTTCTCAGCGCCCAATCTACCTGACCTGAATCGATCCCAGGTCTATGCTGTGAAGCAGAGTCTCCAGCGCCCACTATCCTTGATTCAAGGCCCACCAGGAACTGGGAAAACAGTGACATCTGCCACCATTGTTTACCATCTGGTGAAGCAGAATGGGGGGCCCATGCTCGTCTGCGCTCCGTCCAACATTGCTGTGGATCAGCTGACTGAAAAGATCCATCGCACTGGGCTGAAAGTGGTACGGTTATGTGCCAAGAGCAGGGAGGCCATTGAATCCCCTGTCTCGTTCCTGGCTCTTCATAACCAAATTCGTAACATGGACACGTAAGTTAGTCTTTTCCTCTGGAGAAGGCACAATATTCATGGGGTGAAAGTGAACACCAGAGTCCAAAAATTTCATCCTAAGCATGAGGAATATGTCCTTTAGAAAATATCATGAATGTGGGATGAGGGGTTCTTGGGACATGCAGTCATTTGAAGTATTGCTTCTCCTGAGTGGGGAAGCTGTCAGGGGAGGGGGGATTCTTATCTTATTATGCCTTATCTCTAAAGCCATAGAAAGTATTATCTCATCCTGTAATAGTGGATGATTGACCCTGTGATTCATGATTATTGGACTAATTGGTATCAGCAAATAGTAAAGTAATTTAAGAATTACTAGCAGTTTTCTACCAACAATTCTTTGCCAAAGATGAAGAAAATCGTAAATATCTATAGGTTTTTGGCTTCTCCCCACCCCCCCCCCCCTGGATCTCTCAAGATCAAGATGCCCTTCACAGCTTTAAGGATTGTCATTCATATTGCTCCCATTCAGAAAGTAAAACTTGTGATTGTTCTGCCACATTGCCTTAAGCCTATGTGGCATGTAAGTTTGTGTATGAACCTATTTAGTTAGGGTAGTTCTGGGCCCTATATGTTTTTAGAAATGAAAGGCTATGAAAACTAAAACTCCACAAAGCTGAGCAACTTCTTTATCTTCACAGGAACTCAGAGCTGATGAAGTTGCAACAGCTGAAGGATGAGACAGGAGAGCTTTCATCAGCTGATGAGAAACGTTACCGCATGCTCAAGCGTACATCCGAGAAGGAGCTCCTTGAGGCGGCTGATGTCATATGTTGCACTTGCGTTGGTGCTGGTGATCCTCGCATGCTCCGATTCAAGTTCTATTCCGTCCTGATTGATGAGAGCATGCAGGCTACTGAGCCAGAGTGCATGGTCCCTGTTGTCCTGGGGGCAAAGCAGGTGCGTTCCTTTATATGACCATGTACCCTTGGTATCGATTTAGGGTATGTCCCAATTTTGATGGTTATGTATGGTATTAAGCAACATATGTTGTCATTAACGTCTTAACATTTTGTTTTGACACATCACTTTTCAGAAAGTGGAACTCTGAATTGACTTTGAATTTATTTGCTTAATAGCCTGCAGATCTTTTCCCTGGCAGACTTTTAGTTGGCTTCCAAGCATATTTATGGTGGTACTTGAAATGTATTGTCAAACTAGATGCCAGCATAATTTTAAATAATTTTGATACCTGCACTGTCTGGTGCACACCCAATGAGCTTTTTCTGGGACTGGCCTTTTCCTTTGCAGTTGATACTGGTGGGAGACCACTGTCAGCTGGGGCCAGTGGTGATGTGCAAGAAGGCAGCTCGGGCAGGTCTTTCCCAGTCTCTCTTTGAACGATTGGTGGTGCTCGGGATACGGCCTCTCCGTCTAGAGGTCCAGTATCGCATGCATCCCGAGCTGGCGAAGTTCCCCTCCAACTTCTTTTATGAGGGATCCCTTCAGAATGGAGTCCAGGAAGGTTTGTCTCTCTCAATCTAACAATTCTCTAAAGTATGAATTGACTCATTGATGCAATTTTTCCTTGTAGATGAGAGGAAATTGAAAGGTGTGGACTTCCCTTGGCCACAAGCTGACAAGCCAATGTTTTTCTATGCCACGACCGGTCAGGAAGAGATTGCCGGATCGGGGACATCGTACCTGAATCGCACGGAAGCGGCTAATGTGGAGAAGATCACAACACGTTTTCTTAAAAGTGGGGTGAAACCAGAGCAGATTGGGATCATCACACCTTATGAGGGCCAGCGTGCATACCTCGTTCAGTACATGCAGTACCAGGGCTCTTATCACATGAAGCTGTACCAGGAGGTGGAGGTGGCGAGCGTGGATGCATTTCAGGGCCGAGAAAAGGACATCATCATCATGACTTGTGTGCGGTCCAACGAACATCAGGGCATTGGGTTTCTCAATGACCCTCGACGACTCAATGTTGCCCTCACGCGAGCTCGCTATGGCATCATCATTATTGGCAATCCAAAAGTCCTTTCCAAGGTCTCAACTCCCACTTTCTCCTTTTGCTTTGTAGTGTTAGTCAGTTAAGGCACCCATCCCAATCCCAACTTGGATTCTTCAGGAATCCCAACTTCATTCAGGAATAGGAATTTTGTACCTAAGCAAAATCTTTAAATCAACCTTGTATCATTTGTATTTGAAGTTGCAGCTTGAAGCACTGCATTACATCATGAGGGTGATAATAGGAAATTGAGGGCTATCATTCATCTCACCTGTGATTTTATCACTGTATTTTCAAAGGGTCTAGTGTTCAGTGATTTAATCCTTAAATGTATTAAAATTCCGTTTTCCTTGTAACAGCAAGCATTGTGGACACACCTCCTGTCGTTCTACAAGGAAAACCACGTGTTGGTGGAGGGTCCATTGACAAACTTACGGGAGAGCACGATTCAATTTGCCAAACCCAGGAAGCTGATCAACACATCCAACCCTGGCACACACTTCATGTCAACAGCAATGTTTGATGCCCGTGAAGCCATGACCCCAGGCTCTGTTTATGATCGAACCTCTCATCTCAATCCCATGAATAACTTCTATCACCAGAGACCTCGTATGATTCCCCTTCTTCTTCACTGGTGTCTTTTCCTTCTTCAAGGTGTTGATTATTTTTGCATTATATTGACAGTTTCTGGAGCAGGTAGCTCCCTGTTGTCAGCTGGAGATATTTATAGCCGCACTCACGACCGGCTGGCTTTCATCTCACCAGAGCATGCAAGCCAGGCTTTGGGGAACCTCCCAGTGCCAGTTGGAATGTTCTTGAACATGTCACATGTCCCACCTCGCTTCTATCAACAGCATCAACAAGCCATTCAAGGTAGATTCCCAACAGAATGGCAGATCTTCACCATTTCTTTGACTTTTTTATTCCCTTTTACATTAGTGCAATTTTTTTTACATAGAAATACTTTGTGCATCATGGTGCAAATCTGATCCATAATATCTGAACTAATGATAGGGCGAGGAAACCGACCTGGGACGAAGCCAGGCATGCGTGTTGGCCAGATGGGAAGGGGGAAGCCAGGAAATGGACGGATTATGACTCATCTGTCGCAAGGGAGCCAGGAGGCACACACCCAGGATGGGACACCACTGACCCAAGGAGGACTCTCCCAGGGGATGTCCCAGCCAGGATTTGGGAGCCTCAGCCAGGGGGGGCTGAGCCAACCAGAGTTGAGCCAGGACAGTTATCTGATTGGGGAATTCCAGTCCCAGATGGATGGACTGCTTTCACAGGATTCCACCTATCAGGGAGATCGGGGCTCTGCCTTTCTCCCCGGCGCATCCTCTCAAGGAGCACAGTTCACTCAGGTCTGTCTTTCCCCTTCACATATTTTTCCCTTTGCATATGTTTTATGGGGGGGGGGTCATTCATCCTCAGTCTTGCTGAAATGTAATATATTCAATTACACTAGAATTGACGTATTGTTTTACCTGCTAAAAATTTGCAGATTCATTTTCTAAACACCATGACCTTACCCAAGAGAAACCTGAAGTTACTAATACCTCTGGACTTTCCCTTACAGCCATACTGAAGATCCTCGAGGTAGCGTGCAGAGGGAGCATCTCGTGCTGAAGACTGGCAAGACGGGGAAAATGTACCAAAAGCGGACAGAAGGAGAAGGGAGGAAAGAAGGTGAAGGGGATTCGGGAAACAGCTCTCCATTCGCTGCCTGCCTGCCTGCCATCTATTGAGGAATCTTATCTCCACACGGGAAGAACAGGGAGAGGCGTCGCCTCGCTTGTATCCACGATCCGACGTCTATAATTCTCGACGATTGCCACCAGGGGTAAAAAAAAATGAAAGTGCTTTGACTCACGGGATAAATCACATCACTGTAGAATAATGCTCGACCAAATTTTGCATCCGTGATCGGTGGAAATTTTTCTTTCCTGTTTCATCTCTTCTGAGTGAAATGCTTTCTATCATTTGGAGAGTGAGTGCCAGAGAACCTTCTCAATTATCTTTCTCTTTTTTGTCTCCTTCTTTCCTGTAGGACACTGCTTAGTTCTTATAGAGATTGAAATTCTTTGCTGTCTAATAAACTTCAGTTTACTTCTTTGAAGGGTCACCCTGTGGTTTGTCAAGTTCATTTGAAACCTCAATAGTGCTTAGCTGAACAATACTCAGAGAAACTCCTTACCCTGACTCCTATCACTTATCAGTTTTAAGATGGAAAAAAACTGAAAAAAGTCAATGCTAAGCCCAATTATGTAATCCTAGAGAAAGATATCTCTTGAATACTATTCAGGGCTTATCCTTTCTCCATCTCTCATTTTAACACTTAGTAGCATAAGGATCAAATGGCTGGAGAGTTTTCATTTTCCTTGGACTTGAACCCCTTTTCCTTTACTTTTTTCGCAATGCTAAGAAACAAAATGATCAAATCATAAACTAAGAGTCTGCCAGCATCATGTTATCATGAATTCCTAACCACGTGCTTCTGTCATTGCTCTGCCTTTTGAAGAGAGTCCTCCCTGACGGTGAAACTATGCAAGGAGGACTTATCTGTTCCATGACAGCAGATAACAGCTACTGCCTACTTCTACAGTACAGTGCTTATTGAATGAATTCACCTTACTATGGGCTCCTATGACTTGCCATGCTTTTCTATGAGTGTATTCATCCATTCTGAGTTCCCATTAAAATCTCCCTTGATCTTCCCACAAAAGAACTTGTAATAATTTATGAAAGGGAGATGACGATGTGCCCCTAACTTCTTTCTTGTGTTCATTTCACTCACATCAGTGACATCCATTGACTAACAAAGCATTTCACGATCATTATTCTGACTTGGGGGAAATTACTGCTTTGAGTTCTGTGTCCAATAAAAAGTATTTTCGAATTTCTCATCTACATTTTATCATCCTCTTCAAATTTCTTGCATTTATACATTTTATTAATTGACAGGCATCTTCTGGATATTTGTCCATTTCTTTTTCTCTGTTGAAAAGTATGTCGAACGTGGACTGCCTGCTATTTGAGGTTTTCCTAGAGGGGAAAGGGAAGCTTCCATGAAAACCAAGGCTTTTTTTTAATAAAGGGAGAATGATTCAGAAAAGTAAAAATTAAAATTTTGTATTATTCATCTTCGGATTTCCGGAATGTTGAGAATTGGGAATTTTTTTCAGGTGCCTTTTCATAGATGATAAAACTGTAAGTTCAAAAATAAAAATGCATCCCAGCGATATATGACTGGTTTCGTGGTTGCATTGATGACAAGGTGACGATATCGTTTTTACTTCGGTGCTGTGACATTCCTCAAGGTTTACTTCACTCAAACATGGTTCAAATATTGTTGGTTCTTGCTCGTTATGATTAGCTGTATTATGTCAAGTTTGTGAAGTCCCTTCGAGGTATCATTCTGGGTTTGGTAACTGGCTCGAATAGCAAATGGGGATAGTTTAACTGTTTATAGGATGAAAAACAGATGTCACTCTCTTCTCACAGCCAGCAGCGCCACCGCCTACTGCAGGGAGGGGGAGTGAATTCGATAAGCCCTGTACCAACTACGTCATGTGACTGAGCAGACGATAATTGTTGAGTTAATGAAATTCCAAGATGGCGCCGACCAGGAGGTCACGAGATTCCCCTTCTCTCCGTCTTCTCATGGAAAATCCTTCAGAAGTTCTGGAGGCAGCCAAAGAAACCCTAATCACAATCGTCCGAAATATACTCCATAATTCCGGAGATGAGAGGTATCGTCGGATTCGCCTGAGCAATCCCTTGGTCGAAGGGAAGCTTCTACCGGCTGCGGGTGCATTGGAATTCCTCTTCGAAATTGGGTTCCAAGAGGTGACTTTTTCCCCCATTTGCTAGACTGTCTAACGTTGACTGAATTCTGGGCCAGAAGTAGCTTTGGCACAGGCCTAACTTAGAAGGGTAATATTCCAGGAAGATGATTCGCTGAAATACCCTGCCAACGGAGATAGAACGGCTCTCCAAGAGTTTCTTGATGCCCTTCTCGAACTTGGAAAGCCCAAGAAAGACGTTTCTCATGGGATTACAGAGCTGAGAATAGGCTCAAGAGAAAGTCTTCAGGCAGAATCCTGCTCAAAGGAAGTGGCTCCAACTGCATTCAAGGTTGGCTTTCCAGGCACTATGAATAGATCAATCACATTTTAGTGCATTGGACAGGTCCAGAGAGGTCCATTGTTTCTTATACCAGTTTCACAACATTCGTGGGACCCTGAGAGTGCACAGTGCAGATGTGATGCAGTATGAGCGGCCAGAGCTTCGCAAGAAGGCCAGGAGTCTCATTCCAGTTCGAGAACTTGAAACTCAAGCAGAGGCCAAAGCACCTTCTGAATCTGACTTCTGTGATTTTCTTCTGCTTGAACTGATGCACTGGTTCAAACAGGAGTTCTTCTCTTGGTTCAATGCACCTACCTGCCCGTAAGGCATGCATATGATTTTATTTTTTTTTTAATGTTAAATAAGTACACAAGCTAAAAAGATTGGCTGTACATGTTCAGACAGTGTTCATTGGAGATGTCCTCCATTGGTCATTTGGAACCTTCACCTGAGGAGCTCCTATGGGGTGGATCCAGGGTTGAGGGGTATCAGTGCCAACAGTGCCTCACCACATCACGCTTTGCTCGGTGAGTTCCAAAGTTGTGGATGCAAAGTTTTTAAACTTTTACTTGCAAGGGGTTGGTAAGAAAGAAGAATATTTGGAATTATTTCCCTGTGGACTACTTCATTTTTTAGTCAAACAATGTTTGTGTGTGCAGGTACAATCATCCCGGAAAGCTGCTCGAGACTCGTCGCGGTCGATGCGGAGAATGGGCAAACTGTTTCACCCTCATGTGTCGGGCTCTTGACTTAGATGCCCGTTACGTGCTGGACTTTACTGACCATGTGTGGACTGAGGTCTACTCAGACTGCAAGCAACGCTGGCTGCACTGTGATCCGTGCGAGGAGGCGTGTGACACCCCGCTACTCTATGAGGTTGGCTGGGGGAAGAAACTCACCTATGTAATTGCCTTTTCTAAGGATGAGGTTCAGGTGAGGCTCCTCCTTTACTTTCTTTTGAATATTTCATGAACTTATTAAGGATGCATTTGTGGTGACAGATAAAAAAAAATCAATGTTGGCCTTTAGGATCTACTTATAATCAGTGTTGAGAATGATCATCCTGTCATGTACATCCACTTCATACCCATATTATGAGTAATTCTTCATAGTATGTACCAGAGGTGGAAAAAGTTCTTCTGCTTCTCAGTAACTATGGTTTACCTTCCCAGTCACTGATACTGCTTCTCCCTTCCTTGGCTTCCCAATTGGTCGTTACCCTTCCTGGTAACCTGGTTACCAGGTTACAGAACTTTTTCCACCTCTGGTCTGTACTAAACTTTTTCCACCTCTGGTCTGTACTAAACTTTCATTTGAATGCCAAGCACATAGAGTGACTATATTGACTGAAAAGGCCAGAATTGATGGGAAACAAGCGAATTTCTCTTGCCCTCTTCAGGATGTGACATGGCGCTACAGTCGTGACCATGCAGCCACATTGAAGAGGAGAAATCTCTGCTCTGAAGCTTGGCTCCTCTCTGAATGCATGCACATGACTCGAGAGAAACAGAGATATTACTCTGATGCAGAGAGGATGCGGTTGCAGGAGAGACTTACTCGCGAGCTGGTTGAATTGTTGGTACCAAGGGAAGTGGGTCAGGGGGAAACCCAAGGCAGGACCTCTGGTAAGTGCCGCTTCTGCAGGTCACACTGTGGGTGTTTTTTAACATGCTGCCTTTCAACCTGTAGTGCCAGAACTTGAATCCTCTGGTACCTGAATAACTTCTCAGAGTATGCTCTGCTACTTGGGGAGGGACCACTTTTTTACTGATGCCAAATGAGATCATTACTGTTCATAGATATTGCCTGCCTATGGGTGTTATATACTGTTGTTGTACATGCAAGTGGACAATGTCCTTCATATAAGAGAGGTTCTGGGAAAGGAATATGAGTATATTTTCTCAATGGAAAGCAGAAATTTAAGAGAAGAAAGTATCATCAGTTGCCCTAAAGGAACAATGAAAGGGTTTTTTTAAATATCCTTGCTATGTTCTGCAATACCCCAATCTACCTGATATATCCCTGAGACCCTGTGGGACTGAGTGCCCATTGCTGGCACTACCCTTACCAGGTGTCAAACTTCATTTCATTATGGTCAAATGGTACTAAGTCAACCAACTTTGGTTAACTTTGTTTTCATCTTGACTCCTATATAATCATTTCTTTTTGGAAAGCTTTCTTAATTTCATGAGCAGTTGTCCATGCTTTCCTTGTTAGTTCCCTTGTTGTTTTAAAGACAGATATTAAAGTTACCTCAAAATGGTCTACAGGCCAACATGTACATTTTTCTGGGAAAAACTTCAACAGTCCTAATTAGAAATTATTTTGAAACTCATCTTCTCCTTGCAGGATCTCTAGCATGGCGTCAAGCAAGGGGTGAAACAGGGGAACATGCAGCATTGGGTCATATCTTTTCCCTGCCGACAGACTCAAAGTGCACTAGGTTTGAGATCACTTACTCCCCTGTCACGAATGTGTACAGAATCCTCACCAGTTTGTCTGACAAAACACAATCAGAGGAGATGAAGGAATGGAATGCAGGGGTCCTTGAGGCCTCTAATGTGTTCCTGAAGCATGAAAAGGACTGGAATATGGCCTATCTGGCAAGAGAAGGTTCTAATCACTTCATGTCTCTTCTACTTTGTTAATATAAGAAATGCAATATGGTGCAAGTGGGCATTTTGGCCAGAATGCCTGGCTTTTACTTGTCTTGAATTAGGTACATTGCAATCTGAAGCTTTGGACCTATCAAATTTTGTTCTTTTTGCCACAGATGGGACAACCTCTGGTCACATCAAGTGGAAAATTGAGTTAAAAGGGAGAAAGATTCTCAAATGTGAAACTCGTTTCCTGGCTACAACTTTTGGCAAGGGGAAGGTGAGGGCTGTGGTGTGTGCAGGAGACTTCTGTGTCCCACTCAATATGGGTAAGTTACTTTCTGTGTGTCCTTGCCCTGGTTTCTGTTGCATCGTAGTCTCTGGAAGTTTTGGAAGAGAGATTTGTTATGTAAGATCATTCCAACAAGAATGTCACCAACCCTAATAGAATATAACATTGAATCAATGTTATATGCTACTAGGGAAGCTGTATATAATGATGTGCCAAATGCCCCAAAGCACATTGTTTTCAAATATCACTTGCAATACTACACTTGATCACAGAAAATGCTTGCATCAAATCATGCATGGTTACTGTGTGGTCTAAATTTTGAAATGCTTTCACAGTGCCAATTCCAATTTCCCTCCACTCCACCAATTTAGCCATTCTGTTTTGATAGATGGAAGCCTTGTGGAACAGAAGGAGCTGTCAGGATTGAAGACGGAAGCTTTGACAATCGAAGGCTGGATGGAAGGAGGGGAAGGGGATGTCGGGTGGCAGCATGCTCAGCTCTTCCGTGTCTCCACCCTCCCTCCCTCTCCTACCTCCCTTTCCTCTCCACCCTTTCAGGTCATCCTCACAATTTGAGCCTTGGCCTCGGAGGTCAGAATTTCTCTGTTGTTTAAATATTTCCTCATAGCACTGAGTTATGAACTAATTTCAAGTACTGAAAGTCTGAAGTAGTGCAGCAGGTTTAGGTTTACCATACCATATCTGCCTCCATTATGTTTGTCTGTGGCCAAGAAGGCAAGATAATATGTTAATGAAGTGAAGACTCAAGAGAATATCACACAGAGGATTTGATGGTCATCATGTGAAGCAACCAAGGTTGATTCTGATAAGGAGAAATGAGTGATAGGGAGAATCATTGGGCATAACTTTGAAGAAAGAGCAACCTATTTTTCTACACTTTTGAAAGTAGTTGATATCAAGGAGTATGGTATAACATCACCCCTTTGTATATAGCACAGAACACTAAACATTACAACACAACCAACATGAAAATGTAATGACTGGAACATTCCTCCTAAATAAGGTAGAAAATGGTATGAAAGGTAAATGCTCTGACTTGATGTTCCTTTCCAAGATACATTGTATTATTGTTTTCTTCATTCTTCTGTCAATCATGCTTTCTCTTCTTTGAAGTTCATAGAATATTTGGGGAATGTTGCAGATGGAGTTTTGGATCCATCATTGACCAGAGGTGTTTGGCATTCACCCTTTTGGCATTTGGCAGTCCCTGGCATTCACCTTCCTGTCTGGCAGATTCCCTGACCCATCAATGACCAAATGTTGAATTCTCAGATGGTGGTACAGAACCAATTCGATGTGATGGAAAAATAGGAAATGTGAGCTTATAAAATAACTTTTCCAACCAAAATGTCCTGTCTCGCATGTCACACAGGAAAGTGACAGAAGCAGACCGCAGAGGAAGATGCCATTAAGATCAATGACACTTGTGGGGGAAAAAAGGAAGATAAAAAAAGGAAACAGAAATTGTTTCAGGATATTCTTGTTGGCCACCACAGATGAGGCAGTCAGCAAGATTTAAAATGGGAGTAGATCTGAGAAAGTCAGATGGCTTAGGGAGTGAGGAAGAATCTGGGAAAATGTAATTCAATGCCTTGTTTCAATTTTAAAACCAAACTGAAATTTGCATCTAGTGGTGTTGCTCCATTGTTTTTAACACGTTGGCGACAATGCGTCCTGATGCCAGGATGCAATGGCAGGACGCATTTTAAATAATAAAAAATGCGCGTGGTCCCACGCGGCGGACAAGCAAAAATAGGCTGGTCGTTAACATGTTAACATTGCACTTCTTCAATAACTCTGCAGGACATGTCAGGAATCAACTTGGGAATTAGGAATAAAACTGTATCAGGATTCCATCCCAGTACAGTCCTGTGCAAAAATTAATTCCTGGATTCAAGATTGGTGAAGTGGTGAGAGAGAGGGGCTCCACCTTCTCTTGCACAAGTAGATGTGATAGAAGGTGTGGGATGAAGGAATACCAAGAAGAAACCAGTGTTTGAACTGTCTTGTATTTTTCATTTCTTGAGTTTCATTCTCATAACCTTTAATTGCTCCTTGGTCTTGAATCAGTTTCTCCCTCCCAAAGGACTGTATCAATTGATTATTGTCCTGGAAAAAGCCAGAAAGAGCTGGAGAGAGATATTTATTTCTGCACAAGACTGTAAAACCAGGTTTTCAGCATCAAGGAACTGATGAATCAGGGAATTTGCCATATGGGGAATTGACCAGGAACCATCAACCAGCCAGTGTTGCCTGAACAACGAATCCATGATTCTTCGTTGGCCGTGAAGCACAACATGCGATCCAGTTTTTGTGGGTATTTTTTTTACTGTTATTATGAAGAGAATGGATCTACAGTGGACATGATACATATGCATTAGATTAGAACCAAGTCTCTCAGGTGGGGATGTCCTTCCATGGTCCCAAAGGAGGCCTTGGGGGCGGTTCACAAGTTGCCTCTGCCCTCGGCTGGCACAAGTGATTTTATGAGGTGTGCTGCACCTGTCCATCCTATGTGTGACATATTCTCAGGGTGTGAATTCACATGGCATGGATTTCATGTATTCTGACAGAGTGGAATAATTTCTGTTCTTTATTATTAAAATAATTGAGATAAATATTAGAGCTGGACAAGTCTCAATTCTGACTTCTCAGTCGCCTTGGGCGATCCAGACTTTTGTCACAAACGTCAGGTGAAGGCTATTTTGGTATTGAACCAAGGAAACACATTTTCTCTCTAGAGGGAAATTGAAGCCAAATGCTCTTTCCATGTCATGGTGCTTTTTCCTCTTTGAATATTGCAGTCATTGCCAAGTAAAATAGTGGACCATGTGTCAAGAGATTTCAAAATGGAAAGACGGGCTGCACGAAAGATGCTGTATGACAGACAGGTAAACACCCGACTGCAGCAGTACTGCCAAAACCAGTTTCTTTCTCATGCCTTACTTTCTTTTTCTGTGACAATGACGAGGCAGGTTTGCAGTGACAGAACACAAAGACAATCAGGAAAAGGAGTTCATTAAGCTGCTCCCTCTCCTCACAGCTTGCAGTTTTTCAGAACCTTCATTAGTCCCCAGGAATCAGGATGAAAAAAGAAAGACTGCATGTTCATGACTTAAGTGCTCGCAAATGGATCCGCACTTTCCCACTTTAACTCCCCCTCTTTCGAAAACGTTTCCGTCGACATCATAAACGGGAATCCGCAAGACCAAGAACGCGCCCTTGGTCACGTGCCATCGGCATCGGCCGACCAGGCGACGACGTCGCGAAAAGGGAAATGCATCGGACGCTCCCAGGCCATTGTGGCTTATAAGTGAAGGAGAAAGGCACGCATCCACAAGCAGATCTTCCGCGGAAAGTGTGCTAACGTCCCTCGCCCCGCTCGTGACGAACTCAAACGCGCGCACACGCCAGCCCCAGCGAGGAACCGGGTCGACTCGAAAGGCCACGTCTCGTCGTCCTTGACGACCCGCGCAAGACCATCAAACACGACCGCACGGACCCCATTTCGATATCTCTGCCTCATCCAGGCCCTTCGTATGCGACAGAAACCAAACGAGATACACGTCGCTCCCCTTCCACCGCAAGGACGCGCATCCGTCTCCGCTCGATTACGCAGGGTTGCGACGAGCTCGAAGTCACCAAAAAGTGATGTGGCAGAGAAGCTTCAACACAATTCATTATGAATTATGAGACTACATCATGTATAGTTATTTGGTCTTGATCCCTTGTCCGTAATTTCCATAGCATAAAAAATTACTTTTTTTGCATAACTTTATTTTCTGTGTCGGTATTACTTTGAAATTTACTGGAAATACCGACGTTCCAATTTCCTATCATTTGCTGACATCGAGTATTACTGCTTGCTAAAAGCTTTCTTCTTAAATTCAATCTGTCTCCATTTTATCAGCGACTGTATCTCGAGAACCGACGCAGGTTTGTTGATATTTTGGGGATAGAATACGATAATAAAATTTGTCCGTTTCTCTCCATTCAAATTTTTTTTCCCTCTCGTGTTTCGTCGTCCTCTCAGATGAACCAGTTCCTCTCGCTAGTTGCGAATCACCAGGAGCATCTCCTCGTTTCAGGGAATTCCTGCACGATTCCCGACTGTCCGTCCAAAGGATGCAGTTAAAGAGGAAATAAAAATCAGAGTTGCCATTGTAAGATGACTTTAGCAGAAAAAGAAGAAATCCTGCATATTTGATGACAGAAAATAATTTAAATACATTGTTATCTGCTGACTCATGATAGCAAGTTTCTAGGAAGAAGAAAAAGAAAGCGCGCATTTCATGGCATCCAGTTGCCGCGCTTTAGAGACCTGCACGGGCCGCCTTCTCCGAGCCCGCCCCGAACCTCTACATCCAAACGAGCCTCACGCCGAACCCGCGGGTCGGGTCGGGTCGGGATAGGCCGGCCCGCAACCCGCGAAGGACTGACGGAACTCCTTAGGCAGTTTTGGGGCGGAACCGGGCGGAACCCGATTAGCCTCGATCAGGAATCCCGTTTGTTTTCAGTGGCATGTGTCGCTTTTGATTAGTAGGCTCATATTTTGGATCTTTAGACTCGTATGCGATATCCATAGAGCATGAGGCAGCCTACAATTGCCCAAATTTAATGGTCCATTTATAAATTTATCACTGCGATCATGCGTACTTCAAACAAGGTGCCATTTATTTGTATTTGCCTTATTTGGGTTAGATCTTAATATGGAGATCCCTTAAGAGTAGGGCCCAGTATGCATAACCTTGGCAGTACAGTAAACCCGCCTGAGGTTTTCCTTAAAGTAAAAATGATGCCTTCAAGGCAAACACAACCCTCTGTACTCGCCTTAGAAAATTAGGCCCGAATGCTGAAACCTTTAGTTAGCGGTCCTTTAAGAATCCAAGGGCTCCCATGGGAGTATAGCTCTTTTGTTCGAATGCCGCTTTATCTTCCCTAAATGAGGTATGTGCATTCGGGCGTTTTTCTTCGGGATCGTGTGAGAAATGCAGGCTAGGCCTAAGCTTGCCGAGCCGGCTAGGCCCGATTCCGGGCCTCTTCGCCTCGCAGATCGGCACGGAAAACGCGGAAACTCGGCTTTTCTGCTTTTTACAGGCAATCGCGTCTCTGTGGGACGGCGAGGCGTGCCTCAGGACCGGCTAAGATGCGGGAAAGTACAGGGTGTATCGTCATCCCACCTTTCAATTTGAATAATAAGGAAACTACGCAGCGTACGCAATGCACAGTTTCGAAGCCTCGACTTCGTCCGACGGTAGGCCTATCCTTCGCGTCTTTCGCCATCGACTCCCATTGTAGCCGTTGCGAAACTCTTCTATCTCCCTGGGAAATCGTCCAATGCCATCCCTAAACGTGTTTATGGAAATGTTGACCTGTTAAGCGACGATAGCGGGTTCAGGTTTTTGCAGCCTCCGGGAGATGGCAGCACTGCGGGGATGGAGGACGAAACGCCGCGTTCCCTCGCCATCTTCGCGTGTTCGTCGTTTTCCCGCCCTATGTCGATATGCGCCGCTGAGTAGTGCGAATCGTCGCGCGGAAAGCCCTTTTCCCCACGT